CCAGAAAGGGAAGGGGATTGTTGGATAGAAAATTAATTATTAATGAACTTTTAAATAATTCATATTTAAATAAAAGCCTGAGCACCCGATGTATATGAAATTTACTATACTAAAATTCAACACTGGTTGAAATTAGCACCCTTGTCTACCAGAGATTATAGTAATCTGAGTGAAAGAAATAAATAGAATCACACGAGATGCACAGCTCTGGACAGTCTTGCACACTTGCTGAAATCTTAGGTTTAGATGGAGAATGAGGCAGAACTCCGTGCCTGGCGTTGGGTGAAATGAGTGTCAGCAAAGAGTGACAGCTGAGGAGGTTCCACTGAGTCACGATGTGTGCTGTGAGACCCGCACACGGGCTTCACCTCACTTTGTAACCATCAATGGCCTTGGGAAATGAATGTACTCTCCACACTGTGAGCGTGCACCTGACTCCTGGAACGCACAGCCTGCAGACTGCTGCCACGTTCATGTAACTGTGCGCACCTGCACAATTCCACTCCGACCACAGAAAGTGACTTTAAGGAAATCCTCGCTTTTCTTCTTCATTTTCACTTGTGATATGAGACTGTCTGATTAGGTGTGGTCCTTGCTCTAAGGCTCTGGGTCTAGAAATCCATGGAGGAGTTAGCACATCGCATAGACCTGTGTCCTCCACTCCCTGTCGCTCTGAGGGATGAAGTCCTTTCACTCAGGACTGCTCTGAGTGGCCCACGCTGCTCCTATCACTGCCCTTCCTATTGTGTCAGTCACGAGGTTTCCCCCATCCCCGTCTGCAGCTCCACACTCCACAGCTCCTTTCACAGTGTGGATATTTCAGGAGGATTTCAGAGCTTCAACCCGTGTCAAAGAGCACCGTAGGCTTTCATGTATAACCCTCAGTCTCATGACACAACACAGAATGGCATACATCTGAACCCTGCGAGTTCAGGAGCAGGTAAATTTGAATTCAGATGAATATTTCAACGGAGTTCTTAGGGGATAACTCATAACTGACAGAGGGACAAGAACAAAAAAGACCGTCCCAGAAGTATTCTTTTTTTAAAAAAAAAAAAAAAAAAAGTAAGCCCTGTGAGCAAGACAGGCACCATGGTCAGTAACTATGGAGAAACCCTCAGCTACCAGTGTGGGTGGGTGTGGACACACACAGCAGACAGTGCACAGCGGACTTCCTTTTTTGCTTATTTCAACTCACAGACCTTGGAGTCTGTTCCTGTCCACAAGTTCACTGTCAAATCCCTCCACCTACAATGGATACATCAGTGGTCTACGATAACTTAAACCTAGACAGGACCCAGGAGCCTAAACAGGCATCCCCTCCAGCTCCTCCCCCAGGTAAGCAGCTTTTTTTCTCTGACATTTGAATTATCTTCCAGAGTTAAAATTTTCCTCTGAAACGTGTGGGTTTAAGTCACTGCTTTGAAGGAGAGAAGCTGGTCTACGTCTATGTTAGTGTTAAATACTGTGGCTGTCTGCCTGCAGAAAACCACAATTCTGGGAAGGTCATGCATTCCATTTTTATTCGATTAGGCAGCAGGAAACCTGAGCATCACTTCCCCTATTCAGACTTTGTTGAAAACCCTGAAGAAAGAATATTTTACTTACATGAGCAAAGTCATGTTTCAAGAAATGTTGATGCAATTAGTTGCCAGTTCTGAGTTCACCTATAGAATGTGGACACTGTGGCCCAGCTGTACTTCACTGCAACCTCAATGTCCCTTCACAGTGCAGAGTGTAGATTTAATGGCTAATGTCTTTGTCTCCCAGAAAGGAGGGTAATCTTGGGGAAAAGTCACAGTCAAAACCAAAGACTTGAATTAAATCAAAGGGTGCTGCTGCTGCTGGTGTGTGTGTGTGTAATTTTATTTAATTTTTTTAAAAGCTGGCTGTTTCTATCTTGCAAAGTATAACGGTTTTAAATGGATGTACCACACAAGGTACCAAAGCCATTCAGGAATTAACCCTTCAACACTGACTGAAAGTAGCACTCTTGTCTACCAGAGGATTTAGTGATAGGAGGTAAAGAAATGGGGAAGGTTGTTCAGATGAAGCACACAACCTGAGGATGGCCGAGATGTAAGAGGCCAGGAGCTCAGGCAGAAAGTCTATAAAATGATCATGACACACTGTTCCATTCTGCTGGCTAACTGAACCCACTGACATCCATCTTAAAGCAGTTGTTTTCCAATAAGATGATTCTATGTGTTATGACACGTGGACTTCCAACTCCAGAGCTTCTTGTTAGAACTGTGTACATTGCCAATGATCTGAGTCAAGAAGAAAGTTTTCTAGTCAGCAAATAAGCTTCATTATAATGTTTACATAGGTTGAACAGAAAGTGGAGTGAGTTGCTGTTTTGATAAGTGTAGGGGGAATTCATAGCACCAGTTTTTGTTGTTGTTGTTGAGAAAAAGCAAGTCTTGGTTTTCCCATCATGGCTAGCAAAAGTGGAGGAAGAATGTAAGAAAATGAATATAGAGAAAGATAAGGAGGCTTTTCTCAAGCTCTACTGTCTAAGATCCCAAGTCAAGAAGACTAGAAAAAAACGTATCTAGAAAAAAAGGACTAGGGAAAAAAAAACAAACATTATTTTAAAC